TCTGCTCCTAGTACATGTATCTGTCATACGTATTATTTTGTGTGATGAAGTAGACAGTATTATTGATAGGACAGGGAAAGAATACCTATGGACTAATTGTATGGGACTGTTTGACTGACTTGATCCATTTATTTTTACTATACTTGCTTGTAACTAATTTTTCTCTCGGAGGGTATAACTTGTGCTGAACATGTATGAACTAAAGACGGCGTTAGATATGGAAGGTCTAGAGTCTTGAAGAAATTTTCTAGTTACAAAAGGGCATAGAGATAAGGCACTTAGGCAAGGTCTCGTTTCAAGTTTCTAATGAATAACAAGCCTTTTTCTATTCTACTTTCATTACTTGGTCAGTTACAGTATTAAAAGCTAGACCCGTATTCGTTGCCATGTCAACTTGTAATTGAAATAAATACATCCATTTCACGGTATTTATATTAAATCCAAATTACATTGTATGAAATTGAAACAGATAGTCGTTGTTACTAATGAGTAGGTTGCTGCCATCATACAAAGAGATGTACGTTTTTCTGGAGCGGCAAAACGATGCTTTGCGCTTTTGGTCCGGCTCAGGAGACGTTCACTCCATTCTAGTATAGATAGGTATAGATTACGAATAAGTGCATGTTTGTAATAAAACTGGTGCGTTGTCAACTATGAGGAATAATCCTTTATTGCAGGCGTAGTAAACAAGGAAATTGGTATTTATCCTTATAACAATAATAACTTCCGGAAGTGGTCGGAAATACAACAAAGCGCTTAGACAGGCACCCGTTTAGAATTTCAATTACCTTTACATGGCGAGGTTATTTATTTTTATGAAAACCATGAAAAGCAAGAAACGAGTTGAAACTTCCTACATGACTCGAAATTCATGCCATACAATGAGCTTCTTCTTCGTACCAGACTTATGCAGACAATCTTATCAAAGTTTATTTTCTGTATTTCTATAATCTCGCATCGAGGTTAAATGGGTTATGATGAACTCTTGACCGTGACAATGGATATTAAAAAAAATGTGCAGATAAATCGGGAATGTCTTTTGAATTACCACTTCAACAGGAGTTGGAGATTATAAATGTTGCATCTTTGGTATCAATGAAAGACGTTTTATCACTGAGAAGCTTCAGGTCTTGATATCCATCAGACATAATGCTCACAGAATAATCCATGCATTTGATATTGAAGCAGAAGTTATTTTCTACAGCTAGAATTTCCTAGGTACAACTAGAGTTTACTGCTTACATGTATTTAAATTCTAGATAAGACATATTATATATACAGGATGTCCGCAAAGTTGGGGTTTTCCTTTATACGACGTGTAGATCTTGAAAACATAAGCAATTTTTCTTAGTACCAATACACCAATGTCTTAAGGGAACCGAGATAAAGAGCTCTGCAACATCAAAAATATCTTAATACCGTCCTGTAGCCGCGACATCACCGACTGGTACAAGGTTCTGGCTCAACCCACAACAGAACTGGGTCGGGGTCAGTGTGTCAGGTCAGTAGCAACCTTCAACACCGACGTAGACGAGAATCCCTCAACAAGCACTAGAGACGTGGCTAGAAAAACTAAAGTGTGGCAAACGCTGCGTGAAGAGGGGCTGTATCCGTTATCACGTCCAACGTGTACAAGCCCTTCAACCTGACGATTTTCCAGCAAGAGTGCGGTTTTGTGAGTGGTTGCTGCATCAACATGACAATAATCCGGACTTTTTGAAGTGCATATTGGTGACAGACGAATCTACGTTCACGCGTAATGGGGTGAATAACTTTCGCAACACTCATGTTTTGTCAGTAGAAAATCCGCACGCTGTCCGTCGGGCACATTTTCAACAAACATTTTCGGTGAATGTTTGGGCTGACATGGTGAACGGTATGCTCATTGGACCATTATTCTCCCAAATCGATTGGACGGGATGCAATACCTAGACTTTTTACGCAACATTTTGCCTTCCTTGTTAGAAGATGTGCCATTAAGTATAAGACAATCAATGTGGTTTCTGCGTCTGCTCGGTAGCGCATCAGCTGATTTCATTTTCTGTTGGAGCGGTATGATTTCGGGCAGAGACGTACTTAGCCCTTCTCGTCAACTGGAGAGTGAGTACTTTTCCTTTATTTTTTTTACTTGGTCGCCCTCGTTTCACTACACATTACCTTGTTATTTCAAGGGTAGTTGTTTCTGAAAACGAAATCCCCAACTTTGCGGACACCCTGTATTAAGGGAAATATGCATTCCGCACCAAAACGGAAATTTGAAAAAACAGCTCCACATCAAAATGAAGTTTGATAACGGTCTCGGGAGACCGATATAGCAGTCAACGTGTTAATGTGTGCGAGACAGAGAGAGACAGGAAGCGTGCAAGATGTATGCTAGAGTGAGCCAAACAAGTTGGTGCCTGGCAACTGGCAACAACAGTGATGAAAGTCGCGGACCTCGTTATAGCGCAATCTTTTCTAAAACGATTTTCTCTCGCACAGATTGAAATCTGTATGCATATGAACATATCTCTTCCCCACAATGGTCACGCACCTTTAGAGCCTTTACTCGACTGCTAATGTAAGTCTCCAAATTTTTTAGAATGTAACCTTCACAAACCCGTTTAGTCGATAACCCTATAAGGGAATCTGTTATGTTAAGGTTTGTCACTAAGTTTTGTAGCGTCATCCCTGGATATACTTCGAACAGTTTTATAGAACCTATACGAATGTTATACAATTCGTCCCTCTTACAACTGTGGAGCTAAATTTAAATTAATATTCAAATTATATACCAGATATTTTAAGAGAAATAAGGCTCAACCTGATTTTATTTTTAAAATGTGTATTGCTTTAATACAATACATAAAATAACAGTTAATTAGTTAGTAATCTAAAAATAAACGGTATTACCGATGTACCATGTAATTTAAAATTATCAATTTCTCTACTCCCTTCATGAGTTTCGAGACTACTCTGAAACAGTTTTCGCACGGGTATCACGTATCTTGCAAAGTGACATTCTGCCGATTTTTTTTGACATTCTGCTGTTTTTTTTTGACATTATGTAGGTTTCTCGCCAAGACCTTGACTTAGGCCCGTATCGTCAGTCGTCCCTACAATTGTAGTGCGCGTTTATGGCCTCCTGGGTTGTCATACTCCTTCTCTCCTTCAAAAATTTCTAGATTACACTTGGCCCGTGTCAGCGTCAGCGCTCTCCTAATGTGAAGATATGTTTTCTTTTTAAACTGTAGGAAATTTCAGGCTGATAAAACATGATATAACTCAAAAGTAAGCACAATTTGATGCAAATAGATGTTTGTGACATAACCTCAAAATAGAGTTCTGACACGGAGAAGTAGAAAACTATGAAAATCAAGGAGGCATAAAGGCGCCCTACAATTGTAGGGACGACTGACGATACGGGCCTTAGCACTTAGTTATATGTGTTGCCTGAACGTCATGACGCTTGTTATCAATCTTTGACACTGATGTGATGTAAAATCTGCTTTACTGGAGGTCTAAGCTGTAATTTGTATGTGTTGATGATAATTACATTGGGTTCTTGTCTCAAATACACTTAATTGAGATTCAAAGCTAGAAAGTAGTTGCGCATCCACTTTTTCTTATCCATTCTGGAAATTACATATACAATTTTGCTGAATTGCAACAATGAGAGAGTTAAGAATAATTATATTCACTGTACACTGTCGAATTACAAGCCATATACATATGCTAACAGTAATTACATACTACGCGGGCGCGGTGATGATTTCCTGTAATTCTCCTCAGTTTTTCGTAAGTTATAACTTTGAACATAACCTCTCTTCAGAAAGCACAGCATAAAAATAACCCGTCGGGACAGCAAATAGATATACTTCATTGGCAGCATATTCAGGAACCATTTTTTCACACAGCAAGTATCACTGATTTTAAACACATGCAGACTAATACACATAATCATCCAGATGCGATTTTGCTATTCAACCAACTTCCTTTTCAGAGATAAAAACTACAGACAAGGACCATTTGGCGTCACAAAACATATGCAACCAATAATTCGTGTAGTTTAGTTGA